TATCAATTACACTGGACTTATCTGAACCAGAAAGGGTAGTGGAAGAAAGAAAAAGTTCGAGAAGTAATTTCAATTGTCACATAAACACGCAGGGTCTAATTGCGATCGCAACTGTATATGTTTTAAAAGAAAATTTTCAATTAAAATGTTGAAAATATTGAGAATTAAATAAGTACAAGTTTAAAAGAGACTATGAAGATTTCATTCTTGCCCACAGTTTGATGTAAGGTCCTCTGCGTCTATGCCAACCTGCGCTCTCTCATGCTGTTATAGTCCTTTTATCATTTTCAAAATGTGCTTCGCCGTCTAGTAGTGTGTGGCCTCCTGTTCAGTTCGTCACAACGACGAAATTTCTGCTTATTCACGTGTTTCATTTATTAATGACTTTCATTGCAAATTTCAAGTTTTTCCTAATATTTCAATTTGTTTTCTTCCATATGTGCATGATGATCAGTGTAATTAGGTCGTGTTACAGGCTTGGCGTATTATGTTCCTCGCATAAGCGATTTGGACAAGCTTTCGTACGTATAACTCGTCGGAAGTGTCCTTGTAATCAATTGTTCTGTACAGTTTGAATTTTATTGTTATTCCTATCAGAAGGGAACTTACAAAGTTGCAAAATGTTAAATACTCCAACAAGCCGACCTGGCTTGGATAAACCCAAAACAGAAGTTAAAAATGAAAGTGTAGCAAATAAGGTGAACTTATTTGCATAATTGTAAATTCAATATCCGTTCAGGAGACTGAAACCATTGTCAAAGAGGAGATAAAGAAAGATGTTGAGTATACGAATGGAAAACCTGCACCCAAGGCTGTTTCTGGCAGGGATATTATCGCTAAATACAAGAAAGTGAGTTTCATCTTGCTTTCTCTCATAATTATCGTCTGCTGTAGGGCGATCCAGTGGCTCTAGTCTCGTACAAGAAGATTTGCAATGCTCTTTCCATTATGGAGAAGTGGGAACCAACAGCTAAGATTCATCTTCTGGAGCAGTTTGTAGATCTGAGCGATATTTTCGATGATAAATGTATGACGATTGTCAATTGCCTAGCAGTAAGTGATAAGTAGTTGTAGTATATTTCATTCTCTTGTTGTAGAGTCTTTCATGGGCATCAATTCCTAGCGAAATCTTCCCACGGTACCAAACTTTACTTTGTGATATTGCGTTACGTCAGGTAAATCAGCGAGTGTTTCGCCATTCTATAAAATCGTTTAGGTGTGTCATACTCAGACCATATATACGAGTGCGGTTAAAAACTTAATTCCTAAGTCATCGAAAGGTTTTTCTTATCATTTTTTATCGCGCAAATTGTTTCTTTTGACAGTTGTGAATGAAGAAAATGTTGAATCCGTTGATGTTACTGTTGAAGAACAGGAAAAAGTGTATGTATATGCTCATCAAATAATTGCTCGAATTTATGAATGCCTACCTATGTGAGTTTATCTATCAACTTTGCTTTATCTTATCATTTCCTTATAGGTCATGTAAAATGTTAAGTAAATGCGTTAAAGTTAATTTTCCTCATTATTCTCAAAAAACGGAGATCCTCGTAGGCTACCTTAGGAACGTTATCCAAATTACCGAATACACGACTAGAATATCTAATGAGTTATGGGAAACTATAATTGAAAATGTTCTTCAATGTGACGTGAGTTTCTTTTCTAGTAGTAGCTTTTCATCCTCCTGAAATCTCAGGTTTTCCTCACGAAAAAGGAATCTGAAAATGAATCCGGTCTTTCAACCCTTTTTTCCCTTGTAAGTTACCAGAACCTCTTTCCCTAACTGCTCTTGGTTGTCTAGAAAAATGAAACGGAGGAAGAAACAGGAAATTCTAATAACGTCGGAGGAAAACTATCCGTTCTCGGGGGCGCTATACGTGATATATTAGTCTATCTTTCAATTAAACATACAAATAAACCTATTGAAAACATCGGTATTCGCTTCCTCTCACCTGCAACCAATTCTAATACCGTTTCTTTCAGATTCTTCTTGGTTTCGTCCAGGAAGTTTGCTCAAAGCTGATGATAGCTTTAAAAGCTTTCTGGCCATATTAGAAAGTAAAATGCTTATGTCTGTTCATGCTCGATTCTCTTCATTCATTTGGTTCTATCTGTGTTCTCTCGAAGAGGTGATCAGGCTTTTCTATCATTTTCTCACAATTTCTGCGTTTTCAGAGTTATCCAGAACGTATTTTGGATTTTCTTTGGACAGTTATAACTCGTCCCCAACGAGCTCAATCAGATGCTAAAAAGGCACAAGGTGCTGCTGCTTACATGGCAGCTTTTCTGGCGCGAGCAAAATACCTCAAGATTGGGTAAGTAACATACCTCTTCTCATCAATAATGTGTTCTTCAGAGTAACTTTTGATTGGATGTCTCGCATTTTTAAATGGTTGTTGCAATATGTTGATCAATCTAGTGGAGTCATGGTAACTTCTAAACTCGGAACTTCAACTGAAGTCTTCTGTTTCAGACCTCGGGTGGAAGTAGACACGGAACTTTCTATTCTTTATGTCAAACTTTCTTCATTGTTTTCTCATTCCGTTATAAGGATCTCGTCAAATCAGCAGGTGAATTCCCATCTCCTACGATGTTTGAATTCTCTTCTATATCTTTCAGATATGGAAGAAATTCGACGCTGGGGATTAGGAAGAGTTGTTCATTCTGCTCTAGAACCTTTAAAATTTGTTAGCAAACCTGTTGGTCTTTGTTTTGGAGCAATAACTAGGTAAATAGAAAATATACATCCTGTTCTCATATTTGTCTTGGTTGTAGGTCTCTTCAATTGGTCTATTGCAATCACGTTTTACCAGTCGATTACTCTGTGAACAAACCTTTTGAAGAAATGTTCCCATTCGATGTTTATAGACTCCAAGAGTTAGTCATATCTGAGGGTATCTTGAGTAGAAATGTAATTTAGGACAGCATTCTTAATATCACCTTTAATGAGAAAATTCTCTCCCTTCGCGGAGGATATATCAATGCTTTCAAGTGCTTTGAGTACTTCCAAAGAAGGACCTAACGATGAAAATGATATGGATTTCTTAGATAATGATGATGACGCGCTCATACACGGTGAGAATTGATGCTTTTTTTGTGGAATTACTTGATATTTGGTATTGCAGGGTCTTACAGAGAACGAAGTAATACTCTTTCAATGTGCGGAGCTCAAAGTTCGATGTTCACAGTATATTCATCTAGTCCAGGATTACGTCAATATGACTCGTCTTATACACGTTAAGCTTCAAAAATGAAAAAAAAACCCAAATTTCAAAAAAATTGTTATTTTTTGTTCTAGTTGTTAAAGTTAAAATACCTCCAATTTATTTAAATTCCCTTCATGTTACTGTTGTTGAGAAAACATTCATTGTTGATGTTGAATATGCTGAATGAAGATTGAACTAGCTTATTCCTCTTAAAATCTAAAAGGAGATGTGATCTTGCTCTTTCTTTCTCTATATTATCTCTTCCTTCGGCTTCTTCTACTTTCGATTCCATGGACATGGGCGGGAGATGCTTTAAGTAAGGAACAGAAAAGTCGTGTCAACATGCATTTCGTAGTAGAGGCTCTTCCTCTCTTCTCATACATTTATCGATTGACAGAATTCCCTTCTAATGTCCTCTAACATATACATTATTCCCATTTCTTCATTTTTCGACTTCTTTTTATGAACTGATGTTATCTGTTCAGTCGGTCATGTATTCTTGCTTTTTAACTGATGTTTCATGATCTCTTGCTCAAGCTCTTATCTGAAATTAACCATTCCAGTCAGTTTTGGCATTCGAATTCTTTCTCATCCATATCTTCATACGCCAGTCTTACTTTTGGATGATGCGGCTTTCCGTTTCACGAAATTTGGCATGAGCTGCTGTCAAAAAACACTAATTTGAAGTATGCAATCACACACTTTCACCCGAACTCGAGGTGTACCTGTTGTTATAAACGGTAGCGTCTCCCACAATAGATTACATGACATTCAGGTAAGTGTTTGTTGTCCTTTCCAGACAAATTATTTATTTACAGCCATCCACTTCCCGACAGTTGCCTAGATCTGTTTCTTTAGCACCCCGTCTTAGGAATGGCGAACAGTTTGATGTAAGTTCAATCTTTGAGGAAGAGTCTAATCTTATTCATACTAAATGACCTGATCTATTTAAACTTTCGAAATTTATGATCTTTTGTTACTTAGAGAGCACCCATCTAATTGTATCATCAATTTCACAATGATTTTACTATTCACCATAAAGTGCATTTCTATAAGCTTACAAGAAGAAGTCTCATAACTCCTCATCCTTTCACGGAGTTTTCGTATGTTCGCGTTTTGGTGGCAAATAAAAAATGAAATACAACTACCACCCGCACATGGGAGACTCTTCGATTTGCTGTTTGTATGTGACAAGTCATGGCTAAAAGCAACATCATGCAACGGACATGAGCTACAAGCATATTGACAAAACCCCTTAAATGGTCTAAATGACGTCACATAAAAGAAACCTAAACATACTAAAAAGAACTTTACAATACAACTTAGGCTTCGCTTCCACCGACCTACTGTCCAAGGTTTCATGATGAGGCATCAGTACGTCGGATGACTTATCGAAGAGTTGCAGCCACTGATATGATGGTATCAAAAATTGGCTTCGGTTAGTTCAGACAAATCACATAATGAAAATTGGAAATCCTAGGTGGAGCAGCGATTGGGGGGATGTTCGGCAACATAGAAGATTCAATAACTCAAATTGTTGAAACTGCTTTACGGAAAGGAATCAACTTCATTGATACGGCTTACTGGTATGGGCAAGCTAGAAGTGAATCAATTTTAGGAAAAGTTTGTCAGATAACCAATAAGTTTACAAATTTGAACTGTTTTCAGGTTCTTTCAAAAGTTCCCAGGAAGACTTATTACATAAGTAGCAAGGTATGTTTCAATCTTTCGATATCACATTAAAAATCATTATGAACATCTAGGTTGGAAGGTTTGAGCTCGACTACGCTAGAACCTTCGACTTCCGCGCTGACAAAATTCTAGAATCCTTAACAAATAGTTTGAAACGATTAAAACTCACTTATATCGATGTTTGCTTTGTACAGGTAACGTTACTGACAGATTCGAAGAGAATTTCATTCTTTCAGATTCATGACGCTGACTTCGCTCCAAACGAAAATATCATTTTGTATGAAACGTTACAAGCACTTGAAATGGCTAAACATTCGGGAAAAATTCGCTATATAGGTCTTACGGGATATCCACTTAAGAAAATGGCGTAAGATTCTGTTGTTTAGAGACATGTGAATTGAAAATGTTTTCTTTACAGTTCTATCATTGAGTTCTCGGCTACCCGTATTGATGTGGTGATGACATACTGCCATGGAGCGTTGAATGATAACTCCTTGGGCGAATACATGTCATTCTTCCAGGTCAGTCAACTTAGTCTCAACGTGCTATACTAAATATAACTCCCATGTGTAAAGTGCAAATATTAAAGTACTTGGAAATGAAGACTAAGTTATAACATATGCATGATCTTTAGCATTAAAATGACTCTCAGCGTATGTAAATGGGACAGTCCGCTCAATTAGCATAAATTTAAATTAAGTAAAAAACCAAGTTCACGTAAACTCTCATTCACTTTTGCGCAATGACGAGACTCGGTTGTTTTTCTTAGGCACCTTTAATTCTTAGGCAATCTAGTAGCTATTAATATTTTATCTCAGTCTCGCAACATTGGCGTTTTCAACTCTTCGCCATTGTCTATGGGATTGCTTACTGAGAAAGGACCGCCACCTTGGCATCCAGCCAGCGAGATAATCAAAGAAACGTGCCTCGCAGCTACTCAATATTGCATGGTTAGTCTCCCATACAGATAGTTAGCATATAATTAATTACAGTCCAAAAACATAAGCATAGAAAAGTTAGCCCTAGAGTATGCTTTCAATATGCCTGGATGCCACAGCTGTCTAGTAAGTATGGATAGCATCAAACAGGTCTCAGAGGAATCAGCTTATATAACTAACTTGACTTATTCAGGTGATAGAAGATCTTGAAATATGCACGACTACGGTTTTAACGGACATTGAGCAGAGAGTGAGAGATCGAATTATGCGCAGGTATCATGATCAGTACATTCTATCTTACTCCAATGTCATCAGGTACTTGGATCGTTTGGAGAATGCTGGTTGGGAAGGTGTAGATGTAACCCAATATTGGAAACGTTTAAAAAAATTAGGTCTGACAGCGATGGCAACACATAGGTAGGAGTCATATAAGTCATTGATAACAAAGAACTGTGGTTGCAGACATTCAAGTGTTGAAAGCCTAGCTAGTACATTGAATGGCTTATCAATGTTTTCATCACCTAGCAGCAGTGAGCTCAGAACACCGAAAAGAACACCGAAGCGAATGTGAAAAATTCGTGAAAAATAAGGAAGCAACAGCATATCATTCCTATTAGAGATTTAACTGGACGAAAGACCCAATAGGAAATATTAACTAATACATAACGGAGATATCAAAGAAGGAGTATCTACCTCTATACAACCATTCCTCAACAAAAACATAAATTTATTGTGATTAGGTTCAAAAAAGACTATTTTGCTCAATAAAAGCTATGATAACAGATATTTTAAATAATTTACAAGTTAGTTGTTGTCAATAGCCAAGTAAAAAAATATAATTATGTTACATTGTTCTTCTTAAATCGTTTCTTCGGATCTTCCGTTTTCTCCTTTTGAGTATCCGACGGCCTTTTATTGAAATCTTTACTCTAAAATCTCTTCTACAATAAGCTTCATACATGGAAGTCACTCACTCTGGAAATTATACAGACTCCTTTATGAGAACTTACACCTTTAAGGTTTGTACAGGCTGTATCCAGAGTGTTCAGCTGTTCTTCTGTTAGTACGGATCGATTGCAATCCTGACAAATGAGTAGTGGTAGCAGAGATACACACTTCGCTATGAACGGAAGCTCTGTGAAATTCTCTGCGAATTTGATGCTTCCTTGACATTCAGAGCTACAAATATTTTAGATGAAAACGAACAGACAATCAAATATTACTCATGTTTTTGCAACAACTCTGGTACATCTCCAAGATAGTAGACGGAATCCGATATATGTACAGTCATGTTTTCAGTGGTACAATACTGAAAACCAATTAATAATTCGTACCTAAGACATCACGTACATGATATTTCCGCAATTTTTTCAAAAAGTTAACTCTGAAGTTATCACTTCGGATGAAGCTCGTCGTGTTATTCAGCACATTGTTGCAGTCACTCGACCTGGGAACGTCGAAAAAGATGTCTCTTAGTAACAAACGGTATCTATTTGTTCTCTTGAGTAAATCCTGATATCAAAAAAATGTATTGGTTCCTGATTTGGATGACTCACATCGACGTTTTCGGAGTTTTCTCCGTCTGCCTGTTCCGATAGCTTCTTCTGCATAGTCTGAAAACAAGTCTAATCGAAACTATCTACGGAAAGGAGCAGACTTTGTTAGAGGAAGAGTATTTCGTGAAATTAGCACATATACCCTCAGGTAAGCTGTCGAAAATTTCAAAGAGTGCTCGGATAGTGTCATCTTCAAGAGTATTCTCTCGGCACTTATCACAAAGAACTATCGGAATAAATTGAGCCAGCTTCTGAACTGTCGACCATTTATAATTTAGTTTCGGGAAAATGAATTTTCCTTCACAAATCTCTCTGGAGAACAAAATTTCTACAATGATGTATGTGCAACAAAGCCAACCTGTGGTTTTTCATAACATCGGCAACCTGGGTTAAGTCGAACTTGTCGCCTGCTAAAGTACATGACAAATTCGTTAGAGTATAAAACTAAAAGAAAGTGAACAAACAACGGATGTACTGCTTACATGGTTTCCTCTGATGCGGATGAGAAATTCTGTTGCCCACGACAGTTCTGGCATTTTCTTATCGCGTAAGATAATGTTACTATCACACGATCGACGGAAAGCTAGGAAAACCTCTCGAATTAGGAATTGAAAGCACAACAGGATCTCTTCGGGACTTCCATTCATCTAGTAAGAAAGGAATAGTTGGAACTTTTAGATTTCACGCAATACCATGCAGAACGAGGCTTCTGTAGAGTTTACAGTGCTATTGAAGTATGACTCGTTTGATCCAATGATTTCAGAGCAACTGAGATCTGCAGGCGCAGAAGTTAGTGCAGCTGGACGGCAATTTTCGATATCTTCGTCCGAATCAATTTGTATGCATTCGGGTACTTTATCACTCTCATTTTGGATAAGTCTTTCTTGATTCACTAAATTATTCAAAGTAGACAAAATTGATTGAACAACGTTATTGTCAACTTTTTCAGACTGAAAGAAAGAGTACAAGAACTAGACAGGATACTAACCGAGAGCCAAGAATCGTAATTGTCGTGAGAGGATCGCCCAGCGACAGTTGGAATTTCTACTTCTGGTTCTTCCGAGGGTGTATTGTTAGTATGATGATCGTCTAACAGATTCAAAAGATGCGCTACATCAACTCGCTGAAAATTGCAGTAAGATCTGTTTCTCGTTAAAGTAGCACTTTGTTATATTTAGATTGTTTGGGCACGGTCTTGTTTCCATCATCTGACAGCCTTTTCTTTCCGACTGCTTCTGAGTCACTTTTTCTCGACTTAATGGACTCGTTAGTATTTTCTTTCTTCTTCTTTGCCATAGCTGAAGTGTAAGTTAAGCTAATCAGTACAGGCAGACCATGCCGAAAGGAAAATACTGTACGCAAATTAGATTAAAGAAATTAAATAGAAAAACTTTCTTGAACATTGATAGAATGCGTCAGAGTAAGATGAGTTATTGTAAACAGTAGATAGAAAGATATAAACACAATTTCATAATTGAATTCTCTGTGAAATATAAACTGTTCAATACACTATCTGCCAAAGCATAATTCCGAAACCGTTTGAATATTCTTGGCGCCAAAACTTAAAATGGTTGTTCTCTGCAGCTATGCTTTGTACGAACTTTCTGAATAAATTATTTAATATCACTTTCAAGCAAGTTTCTTATTGTATTCCTAGTTCAACAATGAAACGTGCAGCTCAAATAGTTTCGAAGAGCGATACTCTGACTGACATAGAAGATTTGAGAAAGGAACAGGTATCAAGAGAATGTTTTCATCTCGAAGGATAGTATTAGGTGGTATATATAAAAGAAATGAGGAAAGCTGAGGATGCTCCTGTGGATATCTTGGGATGTCATAAGTTGGCCGATCCTTTGGCTGCTCCCGAGGTATATTCTTATGCTGTTAGAAGTAGCAATATGTCTGTTGAAGGTCTACCGATTTCAAGTTCTTCTGTCATTGATGCTTTCAAGTCAGACTAAAGATCAAGTCACAGCAGCAGCTATTATGGTAATTGGTGTTCCTTACTGTGCAAAGGTGATGTTCCTTAGCGCCTACGTGAGTACGGATGTGATGCTGACTCAATGATCAAAATTCCTCGCCCCGAGTTGGAGAAGCTTCTCTTTCCGGTTGGATTCTACAAGGTAATCAGGTTGTAGAGGGCGTCGATGTGTTTCAATGAATTAGAGAAAAGCTGAGTATGTTCAAAAAGCTGCTCAAAGTATCAAAGATAATTTCAAAGGTGATATTCCCAAAACGTTAGAAGATAAGTCTTTGTTGGTTTGATGCATGAAACTTCCTCTTGTGCTTCTATACCCCATCGCTAACTTATTTTTTTTAAGACTGTGTTCCTTAGCCGGCGTTGGACCGAAGATGGGTCATTTGGTGATGCAAGTAGCTTGGGGGAAAGTTGAAGGAATTGCTGTTGATACTCATGTACATAGAATAGTCAATCGCTTGGGTAGGTCTCCTATTAGTTCGAGTACATGACATATGTCTCCTTCAGGCTGGATGGTCACTAGTACCCCTGAAGAAACGAGGGTTAAGTTACAGAATTTGTTACCAAGGTTCTCGATGAGTGTTTTCTAGTAATCTCGCTGATTTTAGAGAAGAATGGGATAAAATTAATCCTTTACTTGTTGGGTTCGGTCAACAGATTTGTTTGCCCGTAAAACCGCATTGTGATACTTGTCTTTGCAATCATATATGTCCTTCATCTACATATAAGGTCTGTTTATTAAAAACTCTGATGTTCAAAATGTTGCTAGTAGAAAAAGGTGAACGCGAAGGAACCGAAAGCCGAGTCTCCTCAAGTTAAAACTGAAGAGCCCAACCAGTCCCCAAAGCTTGAAAAGACAATTTCTGTACCTCATGAAGATTTGAAACTGGAAGTCCCTGTGACTGAAGAAGCACCCAAGAAGCGTTCTACATATAAGGTCTGTTTATCAAAAACTCTGATGTTCAACATGTTGCTCGTAGAAAAAGGTGAACACGAAGGAACCGAAAGCCGAGTCTCCTCAAGTTAAAACTGAAGAGCCCACGCAGTCCCCAAAGCTTGAAGACACAACTTCTGTGTCTCAAGAAGATTCGAAACTGGAGGTCCCTGTGACTGAAGAAGCACCTAAGAAGCGTTCAAATCGTCGAAAGAAATGAACTTACTGTATAATAATGTAATAAAGTGTGCATGATGTTAGCGGTTGTTCTATTAGAAAACAGTTCGGAACACTCAGTATTTTACAAAATTGAACTTGGCTAACTTCTGTATTCAGCCCAGTTTCAGGTAAACCATGTTGCACTTCAATCCGAATAAGGCTGGGATGGAGGGGATTGATAAGGATAAAGTCAACAAAGTGATAGCAGATAGTACTAGTGCTCAATACTCGAGTTTCACTGCAAAGCAGCAACAGAGAGTTGATCAAAAAGTGAGAGAGATCAAGAAAAGGCTACAAGTAGTTACGGATCATGAATGGAAGCAAGCTGAGAATGAAGTAAGATGAGTGGAAAAATTACCATCAGCTTTATAATTTTTAAGATGGATCAATTAATAGCAAAGCTTGAAGCAACTAGAGATCTTAGCAGGCATTGTGTTCACATTGATATGGATGCTTATTTCGCCGCAGTAGAAATGAGAGACGACCCCAAATTAAGAAGTATTCCGATGGCGGTGGGTTGTATGGCAATGTTGGTGAGTTACTTCTATCATGACATACCCTATGATTTTTACTTCAGGGTACCTCTAACTATTTGGCTAGGAAATTTGGAGTCCGAGCCGCAATGCCAGGTTTTATAGCAAAGCGCTTGTGCCCAGAACTAGAGATCGTTAATGGAAACTATGACAAGTATCGTAAAGAGAGCAGAGTGAGTGATTATTCAATCCATTACTTCAACTGATACAGGTGTTTTCTGAAATCTTCTCCTTGTATGACCCGGAAATGTCTATGGGTTCCTTAGACGAAGCTTATATTGACTTGACTGAGTACATGGAAACCCGAACTGAAAGCAGTGAGTTTCATTCGTTCCCTTATTGCTTGAATAAGATTTGAAGGAGTTCTGACTCGTAAACGGTATGGAGGTGAGTGTGTATGCTGGTTACCTCTAATCAAACCCGATGAAATCGTGGATAGTCTAACCATTTCTAAAGAAGTCTGTAAAAAGTGCGAAAAAGAACGACTTGTTTATGAGGATTCTGTAGAATTCGGAACTTCAAGAGATGAGGTAATTTGGAAAAATAGGTCCCAGAAACACGAAATTCAGGTTGTTCGCGAAATTCGATTTCAAGTTGAGCAAAACACGGGGCTCACGTGTAGTGCAGGTTTTGTTGAATGAGTTTTCAATAATTAAAACTAATTGAAACTCTCAGGTATCGCTACAAACTTCATGCTGGCCAAAATCTGTTCTGATCAAAACAAGCCTAACGGACAGTTCGAACTTGCCAATGAATATAATCCAATCATGGATTTCTTAAGAGAATTACCCATCCGAAAGGTTGGAACCATATTCTTATTTGTTACTTGATTTCTCGTAGGTATCAGGGATAGGAAGAGTTTCCGAAGCACATCTGCTGGCATGCGGTGTGAAAACAGTGTTTGATCTTTTGGATAAACGAGTTGTTTACAAATTTGTTTTTTCACCTCTCGCTCAGGTTACTATCTTTGTGTTTAAGAGAAACATGATTCTTCCAGGAATCTTTCATTAGAATAGGCTTAGGTCTACCTGGTCGACCCCGAGTAGAAGATTCACGAAGAAAGAGCATGTCAGTCGAGAGAACATTTTCGTAAGCATATATCAGGAGTACACTTCATCCTCATGAAATTTAGACCAACGTCGTCAGAATCTGAACTTATGTTAATCTTAAGAAGAGTAAGTGAGGAGTTGATGTCAGATGTTGGTAAAAAATCCTACATCGTTGGTAGTTTATAAAAGAAACAGCTGTCTTTTGAAAAAGATATTTAAGGAGGCAAGTGTGTAACGGTCAAAATTAAGTTATCGTCATTCGATGTGTTGACAAGGTCTCAAACATTGCCAGAAGTTGTAACAGATTTAGAAAGTGAGTTCTCCCTCCTTATTATTAAAAAATGCTTTCAAAGTATTTTATAATGCCGTTTCTGATATCTTGAAGAAAGAATTGGGGCAGGAGATTCGTTTACTTGGTGTGAGGTTAAGCCAGCTCAAGTTTATTGACGATGGCAGCACATCTGCCCATTCTTCAAAAACTGTCAGTCATTATAACCTCGTTAAGAAATAATTATTTCCTTTCTAGGTTCTTGATTACTTCGGAAATGCCAAAAGGAGCAAGCTTGACGAAGAAGATGATGAAGAGATAGCTGTCTCTCCTACCAAATCCAATACTCCTGACGAATTGATGTCAGAAGAATCAACTGACAGTCTCGATGTTGTTCAATGTCCAATATGTTTGAAAAAACTGAGAGGAGATAATGATAAACTAAACCAGCATATTGATGAATGTCTGAACTCCGATGTGTTACGAGGAGAAGGAGTTGTGGAGAAGCCTAGAACGGAGAAAGAGAAACCCAAGATAACTCAAAAAGCTACTTCCCGCAACCAAAAGAACAAATTAGCGGCTGCTGAAAAGAGAGGAATAAAAAGATTTTTTACAAGCGTTTGATACGTAACTGTGTTTTTGACAGTCCCATTGTAACATTTTCGTTTTTCTGAACTAAATCTGTGATTTATGTATTTTATGTATATATTCTGTACTAAGTGCCTGATGAATCTACTCTGATGATTTGTTTTACTATCTTGAACAATTCTTTAGTCAATCGGTGCATCAAACTGGACATCTAATTATCAATTCATTGAATCTGCTCGTCTTCTGTGTATTAATTGGCCGGCTGTCAGTTCAGAGAAAGCCATTTGCCGCACGGTTCTTGTAATCTCACACCCAAATCTAATTAGAACGCCAGCAGGTATATACCGCCATGATGAGATACAGTCAAATATGAAAAAGACTCAATATATGTATGAGTTCTCTATTTATTATCTGACAAATCTTGGTCCAAGCGTCTTCATTGAAGAAATCGTCCTAACCTAGCATCGCAGAACAACATCGTAAAAGGAGTGAACATTTGGATACTGATCTCAACTGTCTGTGTGAAACGAAAGCAGTTCTAATAAACTTCTACACGCAATAGACTTAACAGTTTTTTATTTCGCGCATAGATTACGCCATAAGAAACGAGGTATCAGATATCGTTAAACTCGGCTTTAACATTGCTCGCGCAAATGGATGATGATCACTATGATCACAATCTGCAGTTAAAATCAGGTGGTCGTAAACTGACATCTGATTACGTAAACAGCGTGACAACATGACATATTAGGCAGTTGAACTGGAGTATGAAGATAGCGCAATCGACAACGCCGCACTATCTGACAACAACTTCAAGACTTATCTGTCTCTAACATCATTTTCTCGTCTTTTTTCTGTATTCAACACTTTTGAAGTTGATTGCTACTCATTCTGACTAGGTAACATTCATTATTCGAGAGAATCTTGTTCTCAGTCAGTTCCTCTAACGTGAACTGACAGATGAACTGACCAAATGACTCAATTTTTCTTTCATCGCTACCTCTGTTCACAGCTTTTGTCCAAAGAAACAAAACTCAATGAAATTTGTACAGTTTATTATATATAGCATACTATTTTTCATGACTACTATTAAAAAAAAACAAAAAAAAAAGAAAATCGAATCGACATGGAATTCAGGAAAAAAACAAAGACCATTGATGGAGGTAACAACCTTGAGGTATGTTATAGATGACGTCATGATAAGATATGAAGACCAAATTGAAATGAGATGATTTATAACTTCATAGTATATATGGCGAAACCCGGAGCACAAATGTTTTAAAAATTTCGGCAAGCTTTATCCTGAAAGAGCTTAGTTAAGACGAGACTATCCAACTAGTTCACTTACATTATTCTATAGTTCTATGTTTACTTGAACAGTATCTGTGCTCGTTCACCAGTCGTTGATTTTTTGAGCTTGGCACGCTTGTTCTGAAAATAGTTGGTAATTAAGGACGTTCCGTACAGGAAGTATATGCTAATCATTTTTTTCGCGCCAAAAACATCAGACACCGCATTGTTTTCATTTTGTAACGATAGGCGTGAAGAGCGGTTGCACAAAACTGTTTTATTTTATTTCTTTTTTATATAGCTTAGCGCCTGTTGTACATAGCTACGGTATTTTTTAAAAAGCTTCGAACTCTAACAGGTTTCATAACCATAAAGCGGAACGGTATGCCTATAAATGTCCAATAACGCTCTCAATATACATATACAAACCACCCATCTAGCTAGAAATAATGGTCATAAAGTGTACGGTAATAGAAACAGAAGGACCGTTTCCATGATTGCCAACTGATTTTATCTGAGATCGCTCCTTGTCTTTGTTGGTTTGAATCTGTTCACGACCGCATAACTCTCCTCTCTCAATTGCTGTGCCCTCTGTAGGAAGAGTCGTCTATGAGAGCTTCCTCCATCAAAGTGTTACAAAGATGAAGCGCGCAACAGTTCATCTTGCGCACGCTTCTCAGATCAGGTTCCGGATGAATTAAACGGCTTGTGGGTTTATCTTAGCGTTACTGCAACTGCCATCTAGACCCATGATTCAACCTACAGCCATCAATAACCATGACACGTGCCTACAGGCACCGTTTGTAGTATGACTGCTATTTGAAAATCAGAAATATGGATAGCCGCGCAAAAGTGATTAAAGCGAACAGTTAGCTCAAACGTGTGAAATACTTGAATTGAACAACAGAAATTCAAATATGCATGAGGGTGTGAAAAACTTTGAACTGAAAATCATAAACGATTTTGTTCAAAATTTATGTTCATTTGTTATTGTAGACAAGGCACACGCCAAATGTGATGAACGGCTTTTAATGCTATTTCAAATACAAAAGGAATGTGTCAAGTTGTGAAGATGGATGAAATGGTTTGTCTGGAGGTCGACAAGCTTTATCTTTGAAATAACATAAACGCAAAATGTTGCGAAGTTCGGTGGCGGCAAAAGAACACATCTAAGTGTTCAAAACTAACGATAAGTTCGTTTCCTTCTAAGAGCCATATATGGTAAACGATTCAAATGTTTGCGCCAATGAGAGCGTATATGTAACAGATTTGATTTGATAATAACAAGACGGTAGAGATGTAAGGAGCGCATGTAATAGATGGGTACGTATAAGGTAATGAGGAAGAGAAGAAGAAAATTTATGACATAAACACCTAGTATCTCACTATCTCCCGACAACATGTTACTCTAATAGCTAATAACCGTTCTATCCTTAGATGAAGAAACACACATGCATTATCAGCATGTCATCTAATGTGCAACCGATGTGAACCAAAATCAGATGAGTTCTGCCTTTGTATCTCTAATTAGCGGCAAGAAAGAGATCTATTCCCTTCCTTCTATTTTCTATTAAAGATTTTCATTAGATATTCTAACTAACGAACTTCTCAATAGTGCCGAAAATGGCAGTTAAATCTTGATGGATTGCTCAAGAAAGTAAGAAGTAATGGCTTTGTATAGCCTTCAATGATTAGCTAACGAGTATTATCTTTGATCTTAGCATGTATGGGGGTGGGTTTAAAGAGATAAATAAAACTTTTTGATTATTAAAATACACACCTGAAACCATATCTTGATTTGTGATTCATTCAAGCCAAGCTCATGGGCAAGTTCCTGTCTTCTCTTCTCAGTCAGGTATCTGAAATGAAAAAGATTTATTGAAAGGAAGATGTTGCAATTTTTTGATACGGTAAGATAGAAGATGAGAGAATATCAAAAAAGTAAAGGATAATATCTAGGACCGAATGCCTGCTATGGCCGAATTAAGGTTAACTCTTGACATGCTATGGGTGAGGGGCAGAAGGAATGTCAACTCTCGAAATGGCTCAAAATGGCTGCTGATGGGCAAATTAATTAAACTAAACGAAATCTTAATTGATCTTGTGAGGCTTGACTGGGGTTCATGTTATACTGTATGACTAACTGTAACACTGAATCTTACCTGTTATCTAGGAATTGCTTCTTCAGTCGTTCTAATTGATCAGAGGTGAATGCGGTACGTGGTCTCTTCTCTTCATCCGAATTTGAATCCCGTTTTCGAGGCTTACGAATTCGAGCTCCAGAGACTGAAAACACATAGTTGAAGTAGTTGTCTAAATGGATAAGAAGAGAGGAAAAAAAGAGAAGAAGAGATTATCTAAGCAAAATCTTAAAATATGAAAGGAAACATATGGCTCTATCCTCTCTCTCTCTCTCTTTATCTTGCCCTCGTCTCCTTTGCAAATTTCTCATCCAAATTTAAAAGAACAAAGGTAGTTGAAGGAGATTTTTAAATGACTCGGCTATTTGTTTTTAGCTAATTGCCGACACATGCTTTCGACTCATTCCATCTAATCACACAAAGAAATGAAAGGAAGAAAAAGGAAACCCATCTCTTAATGGGTAACTTTTTTTTTTCTTCAAAGACTTGACAGATTGAACCGAAAAAATGCATGAATGATAGTTATCGTTGTCGTACATGAACCTGAGACCTATGTGGCACAAAAACAACATCTTCAATGGCACAGCAAAAACGGTCCATGTTGTTTTAAAGATTCGAAACAGAACGTCATCCGAATCATTCAAGACAACAACGATCATAAGCAAATTTCTCGCAAAAGCGGGTCTTGTGAAGCAAAAACTAAATATGAGAGATGCGCGAAATAGGAAAGGTTCTGCTAAGTTTGCGTTAGCACATAATTGGAATAACTACACTAATGATGTCACGAATAGAAAAACATTCAAGAAAAAGGTCAAATATACAAGGGGGAAGCCCTAATTAGCTCAAATACAAAGTCATATAAGCTTAAAGATCTTACCTGATGACGGCCTGTCCGAGTATCTGGTGCAAAACACCCACGCTGGATAAATAGAGCGATTGTCCGAAATTGCAGACGAGCATGATGCCATCAGCCCAGCCATTGCCATTGACGTAGGACTTGTGTTAACAGAACTAAAAATTGAAGATTCGGATATGATGTCAGAGAGAAGAAGTTTAGCGCATTACACACATGTGAAATATGAGGCAGTCATATTTCATTGTGGACACGCGATGAACGGTTGTTGCCGCAGTTCAAAAAAGTAATTAACTTACTTGGGAGGACTGGATGTGTACGAACTGGATGTTTCGGGAGATGATGCTCCGGGATTACCGAATTCCGGCTGCAAGATAGTCTCAATACCGAACTTTAAGCGTTGTTCTTTCATTGCGAGATAGTGTGTCGTAGATATCTGCAACGAAATTAGATTGAATCAATCAGTTGGACGATAAAAAGAAAGAAGAGGGATGGAACAATTTATAATTAATAAAGAATAATATATAATTAATATAATAAAATGTGAATGAAGCATCTCAAGTAATGAAAGATTTTGAAAACGACCATGAATGTGAAGGAAATTAATGAGTCATGAGTGGGAGAATCTATTTCAGCTATATGGATTATACCAAGGAGCGCAGAATGATAAACTCTCAATTCAACCGTCTACCGACCACCAAATGGGTGGGTGGAGCGAAATAACCTGGAGGGACATCGTCCATCGTTAAAGATTAAAAATAAGCCAATCATAGATCTTGGCCACGCCCCTTTTCCATCTTTTTCTCTAATAATCTCTAGGATATGAGATGTTATAAAGCATTCTCTATATCAACTTCTTGCCCACTATAGTTAAGCAATAATGTTGACCTTGCCTGAAGCTGAATAAGGAGGTCCAAACATATGTTATATACGGTATCAACAATTCATCAATTAAGTATAAGCTCAAGTGCAATTAAAGTCACAAAGTCTGAAGCTATGTGACATAGAAGGATAAAGAGGTGAAAGAAGGCTAACGAGGGAAGAAAAGAGAGAGAGAGAGATGGAGAGAGAATGAGAGTAAGTAACAAGAGTAACAAGACAAGCATCATCATGTTGGATAGAAGAGCATTATCTTAGAAAAGGCGAAAGACGACGAAAAAGAAGAACTAATTAATGGGATGAGCTGGCACGAGAAAGTGGGTTTAAACGAGGAAAGCAAGAGAACGATGTCGATGTGTGTTGAGAATGAAAACAGGAGAAGAAGACGTAAGATTAATCTGAATTGATAGATATTTCAACATAGCGACTTCAATGAAAAATGTGTATGGATAAGATACTCGTCTAAGAGAGTTGAAGGGCCAATAATGAATGAAAAAGCTAATAAATATATTTTTGGGAGAGAGAAGAGTGAAGAACGAGACGAGGACGAGATGCACGAAATGATTACAAATTACTATAATTTCCAGCAATTTGCAGGCATTGATGTAAAATATAACAAAATGCCTAAAATACGAAAATTATTTGAATCATTGCGTCTTAAGTGGAATGAATAATTCACATAGTTCAATTGGCAAGTTCGAAAATAGTCAAAACATAGCATAAATAGTGTAATTGACTTATGCTATAATAGCTACACATATAGCCGTTTAAGGAGAAGATAGATTGTAAGCAAGCGATGAGGACGACCCACAACTACCACACCACACCACACCACACCAACAACAACTTTGAATTATCTTGTAATAGTTAGATGACGACGAAGACTTCTGCCGTTGATACAAAGTGGAAATTGGCGCATTTGGCAAAGACAGCACCACCGGTCTTTCCTTTCTTATTTCAATTACGATAACATCAAAAACTAGCGATGATCAATTTGAATGAAAAAGATACAACAAATACAGAAGAAGAAGTTGTCAGGGTGACAGGAAAGAAGAAAATACAAAAAAAAGATTAACTTTCAGTGCATTCCGTCTAACTATTTCAGTTTGTGCTGCAGATAGATGGCCAAATTGGGTTATGAAAAACGTATTCGAATTTGCTCATTATGGATTACTCATAATGCTTCTCGTCCCATATGTAATTAGACACTATATTATATTAGAGAGAGAAAGAGAGAGAGAGAGAGAGAGAGAGAGAGAGAGAGAGAGAAGGAACAATTTCAAAAATTTTCTAAGCAAAATGATTTTAGATCGCGCAGTGTGGAGGATAAAGCTTAACGCGCTATACGCGTGATAGGGCTGTTGCAATGGGTGAGAACATAGGTACGTAGAGGTCACAAAAGGATTAGCAGTATCTCTAAAAGCTTGCCGACAAAAGAGCGATCATGAGAAAATCTCCTACTTGATTACATTTCCTATATGAATTAATTAATTTATGCATTGATGTATATACAAAGCGGATTAAGTGAACTAATTATGTAAGCCTTTGTTCTGCCTTGATCAAGCCGGATTGGATCATTCATACCTGTGCATTATGATATTTGCTAATCAAACTATTGGTAAATAGCCTTTAATCAATTTCAAAACATCATAATTGTATATATATGTATGAGAGTGATAATTGAGCATTCTTACACATACAAAATTCCTATAGCAAAGGCCCTTTTAACTATAATTTCATGTTCCAATTATGTCCATGTGCAAGGTAACGAATATAGAAAAACAGAGACGAGAGGTGCGGTGTGCGAGTAACAGTGATATGAATCTCACCCAAATACATACATACATGAGTTCGAATAAAACAAACGGATTACAACAAATCTTTGCATGCCACGAAAGTTATGGTTCACTCTAATTATCTTTTTTTTTTTTGATGAAATATATATCATCAATTTCAAATACTATATCCGATTATTATGAAATAGACATATAATTACCATAATTTTTGCCTTGATACCTCACTTAATGAGCTCTTTAGACAATAATAAATGAATTGCCAATGGAAATTGTAATAATCGCATGTGTTAATGGGTGGCCTGCGACTTGTAAAATTTTTGTTATAATACTATTATGAAAATAGTAAAATGAAGCGGGGTGTTTTTTCATCAGCTTCTATTCCCACTTACAATATTCTAATTAGCTCGTGTTGTATGACGGACGAAACTCATTCGTAAACATTCACTTACCGCCAACCGGTTGCATTTCGAGTCTTCACACACTCTCGCGTTCTGCGCGCGCGTTCTCACGCTCTGAGCAGTCTTTTTTGAATTAATATGTTTATTTGTAATCTAGTCATTTGCAGAACTGTTTTCTGTTCACAGCCATCATCAAGGAATTGTTGAGTAGAAGATTACTCTGTTTTTTATTCGCCCTCATCATAGCTGTCATATACTTTGTACTTCCTGTCTACGACTCGTAATTCCTCAAATAATCAAAGACCGTCTAGAAGAGCACTCAAACTATAATTCGAAATATTCTTTTGATGTTCTCACATTTGCTATCACTCCGAGTGTTATCTCATTCTGCCGAATGATGTTATGAGATTCCATCAAAAAAGGTAATTTGGCTCAAAATGTTGAAAGAATGAGCAAGTGAGAATAAGAACACCAACCGTGAAATACTGTCCTATCAACTCTGCGTTTGAGGAATCATAGGCCAGATTGTTCATTCATTAAGATACTATCTGACTTATTTTTCTAATTTACTACCACCTGACTGTCCATGATAAGATGCTAAGTGTGAGGAATCTGATCAGACGATTATTAAAAAATACAATTTGACAATTTAAAAATTTATAGGTTTTCTGACCTTGTATGACAATATTGCTCTTATTATATGGCTGTCTAATAACTACTTGCCAATATGATGAACAATCTGATGGATGAGCAGAGTGATACAGAACGTATTGGATAAGATGACGCAAGACCTATCCATCACAGAGCGCGCTTCTAATCATTTTCCTTAATAAGCATGAGATTCATCAGTTTTCAATTACATTAGGCTATGAAACTATGAGAAACGTTTCAAAACATGAAAGGAAGGAATGTCGAAAAGCTGCTATCACCTCTGAAATCTTCCTTATCTTAGAACTATCTGGATGGCCTTCTATTCTGTTAAGAAACTGATACAACAAAGGTGCTACGAAGATTGAAACTTCTTTAATAACAATGAGGCTAACAAAGAAATAGTGATAACAAAAGGATAACAACGACGAGAAAACAAAAGTTACAATATATGTATCAAATTTATGTGACCTTGCATCCGCGTTTCTATAAAATGAATAATTACTTCTCAGAACAACTTTTTGAATACTCACCACGTTTGAAACAGGGGTGGCTGTCTTGGCTCCAGGAGATTTCGTTCCAGGGGATTTGTTCATCTGTTTTCTGGCGGCACTCCTTGTAATTCTTCTTGGAACATCACTACCCGGTGTCTTGATCTTAGGAGTTGACATGTCGCTCTTGGCTGGAGTCTTGGCTGGAGTCTTGGCGTTATTTCTGGCTGGAGTTCTGGCTGGAGTTCTAGAAGGAGTTTTCTGCTGAGCCTTAGCTGGCGTCTTTGCAGGAGTTTTGTTGGAAACTTCAGCTGAAGTCTTGGCCGGGGTTTCTACGTGAGCGGGAGATTTGGCTGGAGTTTGAACCTTGGCTTGAACAGGGGTCTGAGGCTTAGCCTGAGCTGGAGTTTGTTGCTTAGCTTTAGCAGGAGTCTGTTGCTTAGCATTTACTGGAGTCTGTGGCTTAGCTTGTACTGGAGTCTGTGGCTTAGCTTGTACTGGAGTCTGTGGCTTAGCCTGTACTGGAGTCTGTGGCTTAGCATGAACTGGAGTCTGCGGCTTAGCTTGTACTGGAGTCTGAGGCTTAGCTTTAGCTTGAAGTTTGGCTTGAGCAGGATTTTTAGCTGGTGTTTGTGACTTGGCTGGAGTTGATTTAACTGGAGTTTCAATAACTGCTGGAGATGACTCGTCATCACAAGATTCCTTCGCGATACTAGTGGTGTACGAAGGGACAGCTCCCAAATCATAATCAATTCCAAGTGCTTGGAGTTTCTTGACTCTCTTTTCGTTCTGATCCTTTCTCTTTTTCTGATAAATGAAAAGTATTGAACTCAAATCTGTTTCAGAACATACCTTTAGTTCAACTTCTCTTTCAGGGGCACGTTTCTTGTATATCTTAGCAACGTGTCGCTTAGCACTTTCCTTCATACGTGGTGGTTTTTTCATCACTGGGCCACTTAACATAACACGTGGAACTTCATCCAAAACCTTAAATTTAAAAATAACTTTAGTAAATATGCCTGTCTCATACAGTGCATGCTAAGCGTTTCTCGAACATGAGATAACCATCCATAGTTTCAGAAGCGATTTCACAAACATCTTTGTTTTCAAATCCAACATATCCGTATCCTCTGCAGTATCCTGTCTGAAATTCGATTATTGAGGCTCCTGAATCAGAGGGGGGGGGGCTTACCTTATTACTTCTAGCAATTCTTACTCTCAAAACTCTTCCGAACTGAGAGAAATATTGGAACATTTCCTAAAGAGACATGGATGAATATAAGAAAAACAAATAAAAAACCATCTCAAAGAACCCGTATGGGATCTGACTGATCTTCATGACATAGATAGGAGTCGCTGAAGTCTTCTCAGCCTTGTAAATAGTTTTGGATTCGGATTCCACGGCAGTAGTCATTTTGTTTTCTGAATAGGAAACTAAGATCGCAACAAGTCAATCAGAGAAAGGTATAGTGAATGATTGAACATTCGCAGAAACAGTAAAATGAAGAACTGATCGAATATATTTCGAAATCACAGATGGTATTGCAATAATTATTAAACAATGCATAGAAATCAGTGAAACAAGGCTAAGTGGTATAATTCCATAAAAGGCAACAACAGTCTATCAGAAAAAAACAATTTACAAGTAGTTAAGGCAAGATACCGGAGTTTAAAACCACATATGTTATTAAGGCAGGAGCAAGTGAATGTCATAGGAGCAATTTAGAGAAAGAGATAATCTTATCACAGGTCAAACCTAAAATATAAATAAAGTGTTCATGGATAAAGCAGGCTATTCTTGAGTCTTTTCATTTGGATGAGATGCTTCCTTTGGAAGACGACTTCTTCAACAACTTTGAAAAGATGTTGCGCTTCTTTCGTTCCACTATTACTGGTTGAATTTCGTCCTTGAGCCTGAAGATAATTATTAAGAGTTTAAAGCATTAAGAATCTGCAGGGACTAGTCTACTAAGGTTAGGATATCTTCTATAACATAAATATCTTACAATTGTGAATCGGCATGCACCATGCGAGCAGAGAGGAAATGTGAAGCATCATTAGCAGCGTTTTTGATAAAAAGGTTTTCAGTGTTTCCAGCAGCTAGGAATGCTGGTACATTCTGTTGTGCTATGAGGGGAGGTCGCGAAACACCATTAGATAAAGATGTTATTTCACTTCCCATGGACTTCGAAGACTCTGACGAACTTCCTGAAAAAGTTATTCAGCGTAGGTAGCATTACATTGAAATGAGAGCACAGAAGCGAAAACATGCGGGGATTAGTGAGAAGAGAAGACGAACACATTCAAAACACAAACATTCATTTTGTACTTTAATGCACATTTCTAACAATCAGAAACTATAATATCCAATAGAAAGGAAAACTGGATATAAGGACTATGGAAGAAGACAGACAGAAGACACCACAGGATTATAAGAAACTATCCCCGGAGGAACTTTCACCCTCAGAATGCATACCTGAATTACTTCTGTAGAATTGATGGTTTGAGCTTCCGTTCTTAGACGACACGGTATCTGAAATGAACCCTTCCCCTCTAAAACGTAAATAGTTCGAACTAACCATTCATAAACAGAATAGGGAATTCACAAAGAGTTTCAATTTGAAGCCAACGGTCTTGTGTATCCCTTGTTAAACCCTGAATCTTCTCCATGCGTGATCTGAAAAAGAAAAACATGTCGCCGCACAGTCTACTTAAATCCCACTTGAGCGCAAAAATTTTGCTGTCGACTTGGTCACTGGCCGTAGAAGCTCCTGTCGCCAATTTGAGCGAAGAAAGAACACTACTTTGTTTCTTCTGAAGACGATCAACCATTTCTATAGCATCTTTCATTTCTTTAACGCATCTAAAAAGAACGGTAAATAATGAATCGCCCCCACACAATGACTTACTCTTGTCGCTGTTTTTCCAAGAATGCCATCTCATTCTCGCACGTTTTGCGAAGCAGAGGTTGTAGAGCTCGAGGAGCCTCCCCAGTGTTACCTTCCTCCAATCTGAATAACACTTGTTTGTCAAATACAAAGACAAAAAATAAGACCTGCGTTCGGCAGCCAGTAATTTAACTCGAAGATTTTCAACTTCTGAAGAACTAACGCCTCCATCAGCAGTTGATCTTTTGCTTCTCTCTTCGGCCAATGTCTTTTGGATGTTTTCGAAATCAGTTTCCATGTTCTTCAACTGATCCATTTTGGTGGAGAGTGCAGAAGACTCTTCTTCGGCTCGCTTCCGCTGGCGTGCGTACAAGATGAGAACTGATGTCAAAGTTAAAAGCTAAATACGAATATTGAGGTAATGTGATTGGGTGCTATGTGCTTACTAGTAAACCAAGTGCAATATCTTTGGTCTTGGAGGAAGAGTCTCGGAATCCGAACAAAACTACATCCAAGGAATTAAGTCTCAGTTTTTGCTTATGTACAGAAGATTTGATCCCTAATTTCTGGGTCATGAAAGTTGTGTTTTGAACGGCGAGCCTATACATGCATACAGTGAAACTAGCACTAAGAAAGGGATTTCACCTCGGCAGTATTGAACCATCTAGTTTCTGTTTCACTATGGCTTCGGCATACATGGGCAAATTGACAACATCAACTATCCAATGAACTAGCTGCATAAATCCCATATAATGGACACATAAACTACTTTTTGTCTACTTGGTCAGTTGTCCAATTGCGCTCATCACTCTCAAACCAGGCCTCCCAAAGATCATCAACAGTTATGGCATCATCATCCCCGTGAAAAGTGTTTTCCCGTCGCGCACGATCCGAACTACGCATGTGCATATCTTCAGTCATAAACTGAAAAAAAGATATCGATTACATAACCATTAGAATTCGAGTTCTTAAGACATCAGCATTTAATGATGCATTTGAAGATAAGAACTCATTTTGAGAAAGCGAAGTTTAGGCTCGACAGTATTGCGTGATACACAAAGCAAGCAAAAGTAACAACATTGGACAAATTGAAAAAAAAACACACTCCACTAGTTTCTTTACGATCTATTGATCCTGAATGATCGTCATCCATTTCCCGATGAATTTCAGCGATAGCATGATATCCAGCAGAATCTCGTACCTTCTCTTCTTCCGCCGTTACAACCACATCTGAAATTATCGAAGTTTATTTTTAACTGCAAAACACAACGACCGGCTGTTCCCTTAACAGAGTTAGTTAATTTTGAAAAATTCTCAAACAAAAAATGTTTGATCCTTGCATCATACATCATCAAAACTTACTTCTCGTTGGTTTATTCCTATTAGTTGCTATTATGGGAATGCATATTAAAACAAAATACACAAGCGCGATCCGAACCATTTTTGATTATTCTCCCCGCTGCTCCAAAAAAAATTTAAAACATCTGCAAAATGAAGTTTAGTTACCCAAATTTTCATAAAATTATGAGAAATGCAGAAAACTAGGAAATTACAAAAGTTTTGCGAATTTGAATTATCCGCAACGGGAAGTACAATTACATCCGTAAAAACAAAACATCGTTTTCAATTCCAATTTGCGGCGGTTGAAACGAAAGCTTTGGAGATGATTGATTAATTTTTATCACTAAGTCGGCTTTTTGTGGAAACTTTAGAGCTTTCTACTTTTTAATATTTCAATAAAACTTCTGCTGACTCATTAATCTATGATGAAGAGCAGAAACAGTAATTAGCTTTCACAACTTCACTCAAAAGCAAATTGCATGTGTTACTTTGCTCAGAAAAAATTATTATAATGATTTTTTTAATAATTAATCTGAAAGATAGATTTTCAACGTTCATATTAAGAGAAAAATTATAGAGAGAAAAAGAAAGACTTGTCGTCGTCGCAGTCTGCTGCGAAGTGACACTATTCCGCAGTCTGACTCTGCCTTTCACAAGACAGGGAACAAGAGGAGCACAGCAGCATAACCGGCCCGTACTGTTGCTGCTTGCTATTCTCCTCTGTTAATCTTGTGGTCAGAAAGATGGCAGAGGAAAAAGAATCTTGTAAAAGCGATGATCTCAATGATCTTGGCTCCAAAATGGAAAGTAAGTTCTTCAACTTTTTGATCAGTCTGCCCTACTTTTATCGGTCAGATTCGATCCGAGCTAGGGTCTTACCTTTTTAGGCCCGCAGCTTTATGTATTCTTCGTTTTTTTTTTCAGCTTATTGATCTTTTCTGTTTTATAGAAGTTTTCGGCAGATTCGATGATTTTTATAACTGTATATCTGCTCAAGGACCTTCCGTCAAGAAGCATGGAGTCACAGCGGTAAGTATTATCTCAGAAGCTTCATGTACTTTTTTTTTTCTAGTATGAGTTGCCTGCTACTCCAGTAGTACCTCGTAAAGCTGAATTAGCTCTAGCTGAGGATTTAACCGAATCTTCAGTTCAGCAAGCTACTAGGGAATGCTTACAAGTAGAGCATCTTGAGTTGCTTCCAGATACAATATTTCTATTTTCAGAAAATGCAAGAACTTGTACCCAATCCTCCTTTACAAATCATATCGAGGCTTTGCAAGGTTGGTGTTTGTCTCTTTCACTTCGCGAACCCCTGTTTCAGCCTTCTGTGCCTGTGGATTCTTTGAATCATACACAAGGTCCTTCTTCTAGTAATAGTGATTTCAAATCTAAAAAGAGAAAGGATCGCTCAGCAGAGGGTGAAATAGATACTGAAGTAGAAAAGAAAAGACGAAGAGATAGAGATCGTGATCATGCTGATGAGGTACCGCCAATTATTTTGTTTTCATTACTTTCAACGTTATTCCCAGGAAATACGCCCGAGCACCAGCAATTCCAATAATCAAAATTCCATGAGGGAACTTTTTGGCGACGATGTGAGTTTATCGCGAATGACTTCGTTAATGAAGTTTTCATAGAACGAAGAAATAGAGAAAGCTACTGTGAGCCCCGATAGTGGCGTCCATTCGACCGAAAATGATGTCGGTGATGATGGCGACATATATAGCGCTCAAACAATTCTGAATATTATTACTAGGTAGGAAGCGGATTTGAGCAACAAGCTATGATTATAATATATTAGATTATCTCCGCCATTGTCACCATTACCCGACCGGCCTTTATCAAGGAGGAAAATAGAGGAGGAAAATGACTGTGAAGAAAAGTCTAAAACCAAGTCGAGTTCTGAGCAAGACACCTCTACTGTAAAACTCCCGTCAATATCGTTGGATAATAATGATTTGGACAAAAAGAAGAAAGAGGCTAAAGATAAGTCTGAGAAAAATGAGAAATCTGAAAAGGTCGACCGTGTTGAGAAGCTTGAAAAGAAGGAGGTAATTTTCATTTTTGGTTCCGAGTCATCCTCATGCATTATGCAGAAACGGGATAAGCTGAAAAGGGAGAGAGATTCAAAGGATAAGCTTTCTAAGGAAGCTCCAGAAAAGGTTTTATCTGTTTTTTGTATCTTTCTTAATGATGCTTATTCTAGAAACGTGATAAGGTTGAAAAGAAGGAAACCTCTCGTTTACTTGACAGGGGCAAAGAAAAAGAGAAAGATCGCTCTGATAGGCCTGAACGTACTGATCGCTCTGACAGGCCTGAACGTACTGATCGCCCTGACCGACCGGATAAGAGTGAGAAGCCTGAGAAATCCGAGAAGACAGAAAAGCCTGAAAAATCTGAGAAGTCTGAACGCCCCGATCGATCAGACCGTCCTGATCGCCCTGATCGTGCTGACCGTGCTGACCGCCCTGACCGTCCCGATCGCCCTGAGCGTGTCGACCGTCCTGAACGTCCTGAACGTCCTGAACGTGCCGACCGTTCTGAACGCCCTGATCGTCCTGAGCGCCCTGACCGACCCGACCGCCCTGACCGCCCTGAGAAAAGTCAAGCGCGTACTCATGACAAGAATGAACGTGTGGAACGTCCCGAGAAAGTGGAACGTACAGAAAAGCCTGACAGAGCCGAGAGGGTTGAAAGAACCGAAAAGCCCGAAAGAGTGGAGAAGCCTGAAAGGTCAGAGAAGCCCGACCGTTCTGAGAAATCGGATCGCCCTGAGAAGCCTGATCGTTCGGAAAAGCTGGATCGATTGGACAAAACCGATAAAGTCGAGAAGATGGAACGCTTTGAAAAAGCAGATCGACCCGAAAAATCAGATCGCTCGGAGAAAGACAGAATTGGATCGCAAGTTCCTAAGTCTAAATTGGAGAAGAAACCGAAAGAAGAAGAGAGTAGATCTGATCCCAAGGTATTTTTTTTCTTTTTCAATCGTACTAATGAACAATTCAGATTATTGTAAATGCTCCGTCTCCGGTTATTAATGGCGTCGATAATCGTCTTAAAGGTTGCGTTTTTCAACGAATCAGTTTTCAAAAAAATTTTATTTGTAGGAGAAATAAATCTGTTTGGGCTCTCTCCGGACCAAATGACAAAGCTGGCTGATCTCGGAAAGAAGTATGGAACTGTTGTAAGTTGAATTTCGCGTTTCATGAATACATTTGTTGTTTTAGGAAGAAGGTTCATCTCCTGTTCCGCCAGTAGCTGAATCTAATGAAAGACGTCGAAAACATAAAGATAGGAGAGACGAGAAAGATGATCCTGAAAGGAAAAGAGAGAGAAAGGAAGTTCGAAGTGATAAGGTTGCTGATCGCCCAAGGGAACGAGATATCAAATCTGAAGCAAGTAGATCAATTGGCCAATCCGTAAGAAAAAGCTTCCTTAGAAGAACTTGAGTATTTTTCCTTAGACACCATCCCCAAGACCCGGCAGTTCACAGTCAGTGATTAAAGAGTTCCGTTGTGCGTGTAATGAATGTATGCCCACCAAGTCCACCAAATATGAAAAACACCCCAGTGATGTAAAACCTTCCGAGTTTTATCAGAACTTGGCGAGAGATAGAAAGAGAAAAGCCGATCATGAAGTAAGTAGAAATTTCTATTCTTTTATTTTCAATCTCTCCCTTAGAATGATCGTGTTCTTCGTATCCTTCTCTATCTTGAATCAACAGTCTACTTTGGGATCTCAGCTCAGCATATGGAAACGGAAGAATCTTCTCAGAGGCATGTGTCTGTTCTCCGCGATACGTCTGAACTTCTTAAGTAGAAAGAATTATGTCTGATTTAGCCTAATTCTCCTATTTTTAGAGTCGCGTCTCATAATTTTGCCACTAAAGAAACCCTCTCTCCCTTAGAGAAGCATTTCGTTTCTCGTGTAAAAAATTTAAGTTTAAGAGCCCAGTCGGTGCTCTCCTATAACTTGTATCGTATCAAAACAAACGTGAGTAACATTAGCCTCAGAGATAATACCGGAAAATTATTTTAGCAGGTGTTAAAATCTTTCTATGCTTTGGAAAAAATGGAAGCCGAAGTTCGTTACATTCCCAAAATGCCCGATTTATCAAACCCAGAAACTTATTTAAATGAGTCTCCTTCTTCGACCTCAGCCGCGAATGCAGAAGGCGTATGTTTTCTGGTGTTCTCTGGAAAACTGATTAAGAGAATTCCAGGTCCTAATACCAATCAACCATTATAATTGCCTGAGAGCCCAATTCAAAACTTTCCAGTACATTATGTTCGCTCATAAGTTCTGGGAAG